GTGTCCCGTGAGGCTGTGCCTTCCTGTGGCAGTTCAGAGCCAGGGAGGGTAGGCAAGGCTCTAGGGTGGGCTTTGAAGAACACCAAGTACAAGCTGATGGGCTGGGTGGGCGTGGCACCCACAGAGGCCATCTTTTGCTTTTAGACAAGGAACGTGGGCATCTTACAAGTTGGGGACGATCCAGAAGGATGCGGTGGGTGGGGGAGAGGAAGAGAGAGAGCCAAAGATGAAAGGTATAGGAGAGAAACGGGAAGAAACCCTGGCTGGTAGGGTGGGGCCATTGCCCACCAAAAGGAAAAACTGCCACTTATCCCTTGGTAACAGAAGAGGCTCTGAGTGACTTCCTGTCAGCAGGGTGTGACACTGGAGTACCATTGGATGTCTTTTTCAACAGCACATGCTGAGTATAAACTGTGCTTGTGGCTGGGTGTGGTGGCACATGCCTGTAATTCCAATGACTTGGGCTGAAACAAGAGGATGGAAAGTTGGAGGTCAGAGACCCTATTTCAAAATAAAAAATGACAAGGGCTGGGGATGTGGCTCAGTGGTACAGCACCCCTGGGTTCAGTCCCTGGTCCCAATAATAACAATTCCTATCACTGCAGTTAGGATATTCAGAAATACCCCTGGGGCACAGTGTGAAGATCAGTGTTCCACATCTGGGAGGATGCAAGAGGGGGAGGGGCAGAAGCCACGTCCAGCCCTGGAGGTGTCCGTTCCCTGGGCCCCCTTCCTCCTTTGCTCAAGAGCAGAGTCGGGCGGAGAGGCTCCGGGGGGACTGCAATAGTGCTAGTTCCCTCTCCTCCCTTCCGTCTTGTGACCCTGCTTGACCAACGGGGGTTGACATCATAGAAAATGGTGAGAATGGCAAGCCTTTATTGAAGGACTCCTGTGTGCCAACGTGGTGGAGGCCAGCGCCATCCAAGATGCCCCCGGCGCTCATGCCCTCTTCACACCCCCATGCAGTGAGTAGGGTCATGAGTCAGGGACAGGACACTCCAGAGTGGCAGAGGGCCTCTGGAGGGCCTTCGGCCTGGCCATCTCTCCTGGACCATCTGCTCTGGGGAGGCTGGCATCTGCGTGTGAGGACCCCCAGGACGTGCCGTGGGGAGGTGTGCGTGGTGAGGAGCCATGGCTCTGGCCCACATCCAGGCTGCTGAGGCCTCACACCGAGAGCCCCAAGCCAGCGGAGCCTGTTGATGAATGCAGCTCGGCCCACACCTTGACGGCAGCCTCAGGAGGAACCCAGAGCAGGAACTGCCCAGCCAGGATGCCACTGGACTCCCAGACCCAGGAGGGGACAGATAATGAATGCCAGCGAGTCTCGGGATGACGTGTCACCCCGCGGAGACCACTAACACGCCCGCATACCTTAGCATAACTCGCCACATTTTCAGGCAGGTAAGACTTTTTCCCTTTTTATTTTATTTTTTATAATGAATGCCACATAAGACACTTCATGACCTT